CCCCAAAACCCCAAAACCCCAAAACCCCAGATAGCATAATTTGAGTGAGGAATGAATTGGCTAAATTAATGAAGACAAATGACTAATACATTAAATTAGTTTTTGAATTTTATGAATATTTCTACTTAATTTTTATTTCTCAAAACAAACTGATTTTTATCAAGATTTACAAATCTTCAAAACTTCCCTGGCTGTGTTACTTATTGATTTATCATCTGATGTCACTAATTGCTCAGCTATCTTTGCCAATGCTTTGTTATTGTCTGGACTTAGCTTAAGATTTTCTAAAATTGTATTAGGGTTAATCAAAGCATTACATGTCATTGCCCAATAGAGGGATTTGATCAAGCTTTTTGAAATTGTGGGCTTATCAAGCTTAAATGTGGGAAGGAAAAATTGTAATTAATCCTCAGTTATTTGAAGAAGATCAGCGTTCTTTTGGATACCTTAGACCATAGTAAAGTGAATAAATGCGAGAATGTTTTAACTGGCTTTTTCAACAATGTTCTAAAAAGATATTTTGGTAAAAAAATAATATTACAACGTCACTAGCAATCAATAGTTTAACGAAAGCCTTAAAGTTTATCAAAAGAGAATCAAAAACTTATTAAGGAAGTGCTGATTGGGGATCTGCCTTCTTTAAGTCTGCAGCTTAGTGCAAAATTTCATTCATAATTTCAAGCAAGAGGTCAGAGCACCATTCTTGGTTATTAGTCATCATATGAGCCATGATCGAGTTTATTTTTTCAATTAGATTTAACTTTACTAACTCATCTAGCTCTACTTCTCTTGATTGTACAATAAGTTTTACAATTTTGACAATAAATCCATTGAACTTTGGATGTCCAATCGCAAAGTAGTCGAGTAATACTGAGATCAACTTTAGCTTTTTGAGAATAGTGATGAACGCTGAATTCCTTTCAACAATTATTTGGAGTAATTTTAGACCATAAAGAGGCATTGGGTCCTTATCTGCTAAAATCATACCATAGTGTGGAAATAACTTTTTAAGAATGAGTTCATTTATTGCCTTTGTAGTTTCATTGTTCTCTTCACAGTTATATATCTTTTCCTCGTTCATATATTAGGTAATGTAATCAGAGAATAGTTTCAATGACAAAAATCTTACGTCTGCTGAGTCTGAGTCTATTTTCTTAATTAAAACTGGTAAAAGGTTTTCTATAATATCCTTGTTTTAGGCTACCAGTATTTTACTATGCTTTGATATCGATTCAGCTACAAGAAATAGTGCTCTTCTAAACTCATCCATAACTTAGCTACCTTTTATTGTTTCACTGTGCTCAATCATGTAACTTAAAGTTTGGATGAGGTTTTATTTACAAACCTTGGATTTCAAAGCTGAAGAATTAATGAACTCAATAATAGTCAGAATGTTTAGAAGTCCACCTTTTAGTGATGAAAATTCTTGCTTACTTCCTTAAAGAACCTTTTGCAAGCTCTTTGACCTATCATCATCTAGTATTGGTTAGCCTGAAATCAATTTATTGAAAGCATCAGTCAGTTATTATAAAAGTTAAGGAACCATCTATGATACTGATTCAAGGAGGCAAATTAGACAGCATTACACATATTTGAAACTATCTCTTAAAAGTTTGTCCACTCCTTTATAGAAATCCATTTCAATGACAATCACGAACCATTAGGGATTCATCTTGAAAAGAAGCAAGAAAGTTAGCAAAGCTTTTCCTCGTAGAACTATAGATTAGTTTTCAAGCATTTTAGTTATTGAAATCAAGAAGTTTTCATCATCTTAGAGTGTATCATTTAACTTTGGATATGGCTGTGTAAGAGCTATATTAAGCATAGTTATAAATGCTTGTTATATCCTAGAGGATCCTTCTAGTAAAGCTAAAGAAAATTGTTTGCAAGTCAATGACTCAAAAATGGTTGGGAACAGAGTTGTGTTTAATTTGCAGATGTGGGAAATTGAAACAGCAGCTGATGTTTTAAACGGATCATTTTTAGTTGTATGGTAAATGTTCAGAAGGAGAGTAGCCACTTCAAGAGAGGCAAAATTACATCCAGCACTTATTGACTAAGCAGTTATATTTTCAATAGTCTTGCAAGCATAAAACCTGACCACTTCATCCTCATTTACATTCAAAGATTTGATCAAAGTTTAAATTGCACCTTGTGGAATTTCCCAGACTGCTTCAACCTGCTCATCGTCAAGTTAAGTTGCAGCATAAAACAAGAATTCTCCAAGTGAGGCAACTGCTTTTCTTCTAACTTTTTCGCTTTTATCTTTCAAAATCTCACATAGAAGCAAAGCCAAACCACTTTCAGCAACTTCATTACCAATAACAGTTGAATGTCTTATAAGCTGACCTATAATTGAGCAAAGTCTGATTTTAAGATGAGGGCTCTTAACATTTTTCATAAGTTTTAGTAAGAGACCCATAAATGCTGAATTTATGAGTATATTGGCTACATTAGAATTAAGAATGATAGATTCAAAGTAGCATAGTACATTGATCTTGTCATTGACTGTACCACTAGAAGCCATTGCATTATAAACCTCATGCAAATGACTTTCAATTGTGGAAGAGTTAATTGTAGCTGCAACTTAATCCACACTAAGAGCTTCAAATGGAAGTTATTAACCATTGAATACTAATTCTCCTATCTTCTCAATCTCTTTATTGCCTATAATGGGTTTGACAGCTGTATCAGAATTATGAATCAATAGCTGATCAATTGTTTTCAAAGGTACTTTAGCTTAAGCCGATGGTTGAACTTAATCAAGTATACTTTGCTAATTGCTAGGTGATGGCTATTATTACTAGATTTCATTTTATTGATTTAGTTTCTTTGAATCTTGCTTCTGTATAATCTACTCTTGATCATTATCTTGTAATTTTCCTCTTCCAGCTGTTGGCCTGCTTGCTAGAGGCTGATCTCTCTTTCCTATCTTGAGATCTTTTTATTCTTCAGGCCCCAAACTAAATTTTTCAGCTTTTACTTCTTCTTGATTTTCTTCATTATCAAGGAGTCCATTTTTAAGATCAGTCTCGTCCTCATCATCGTTTTTGTTTGAAAAATTCAACTCCATATCTTTACTTATCAAATTTACATCCATTGCTGCTCCAATTTCCTCCTCTTATTTCTAATAAACAGAGGAGTTATCTTTTAAGAGATTCTTTTTCACATTCTAACTAATTCTTACGGGGTCAACCTTTTTTGGAACCTTGTAATGCACATTCGGAACAAAATAAGCATTCCTCTCCTATTAAAGATAAAACTCATCTACATTGATATTTCTACCAGTCAGGTATTGGTCAAATTATGGCTGTTTGGGCAGATTTCTTTGATTGATCTCTTTAGACCAGAAGGGATGCTTTCTTAAGTGTTCCCAATATATTCTTTTGACAGGATCTTTTTCTAGCAGTCTAGCTAACAAATCATTGAAAACTGGAGAGAATCCCTCAACTTTTGGTGTTTCAGATTCGCAAATCTATGATATAAGATCTTTTAAGCCTGTTGCTGAAAAGGGAGGCTTTCCTGATGCAAGTTCATAAAGTACACAACCAAGAGCCCAAATATCTGAATAGAAACTGTAAACACCATCATCTTAAAACAGCTCCGGAGCCATATAGTAAGGAGTACCGCTTTTAGGCTGTAGTATTATAAATGCTCATTAAATATACTTTCTAGTTTTCTGCGTCAGTTTGAATGAGATCAACTATCTTTTTAGCAAGACCGAAATCACATAGTTTAAGATTACTGTACTCACTTAAAAGGACATTCGATGGCCTAAAAATATAACTAAGGTAATTTTACTTTAAATCAGCGTATATAATTCCATTGGAATGAAGATAATAGAGACCTTGAGCTAAATCTCTACCAAATTTTCTTACTGTTTCTTCAGGTAGCTAAAATATTATTTAGTTCAAAGTAATCAAACCTTTTTTTCTTGTTCGATCAATTAAAAAAGATCACCTCCTGCACAATACTCAAAGATAATCCAAAGATGATTTCTAGTTTCATACCAATTATAAAACTTGAGGACATGTCTATTTTTGAGATTGTGGAATATTCTGACCTAAATATTGTAAAATTTCAATCAGTTATGATAGTAAATGATTGTTATTACCTCATTAAGGACCTTCTTTCTTCGAGTCTTCTCCACAGATTTCACTGCAACATAATCTATAGTCTTCTTCTTTCTACCCTAATAATACAAATTAAGCAGATGTATAATTTAAAGTGAAAAGTAAATATTTCTTTAAATGCATTCATTTTAGATATACCTTATAGACTACAGAGTATTTGCCTCTTCCAACCTCCTCATAAATGTGAAAATTGTTCATTTTATCAATATGTTTGAATTATAATTTAATTCCTATAATTTAAAAATTGTATAACTCTGGGGTTTTGGGGTTTTGGGGAGATCGGAAGAGCGTCGTGTAGGG